ATATATATATATATATATATATATATATATATAAATCTGTAAGCATAATGATGACGTAATATGCAAAAACCAATCTTGCGACAAAACCGCGAAGCGTCGAATGCCAACCGCAGGCAGCAAATTAAAACTTTATTCCAAACGAAAGCAAGTAACCAAAATAATAAAGCAGAACAATATAATCAAGTATTCGACATATATCAAAAATAACAAATTCTTCGAAGCGTTTAACGTCGAGATTTGTTAGCTGTTAACGCTGAAATTGAGAATATAGGTAACCTCGTGAAAATAAAAAGTTGAGCGAAAGTATTAAGGAATGAACGTATTAATAACGAGTTTAACGCCATTCACGTAGAAATTAAGTCTAAATAAGAAAGCATAGCTCTGAAGTTAATAATATTCATAGAGAAATCAAACGAAACAAATAATCAGCAACTAGCTTACTCGATGCCGACTACGGTCATCGCGTCTATCTCTGTCCCGCCGGTCATCACGAAACCTGTGCCGATCATCATCACGATGGGACCTGGGAGACCGAGACCGATGCCGACTCCTAAACCATAAACCAGTGACTTCCAGCTCATATTAAGGCAGCTAATAAAACACCAAAAATTTTGAGATTTGGCTCCCAAAAGAATGCAAGTGAAAAACGAAATTAATATCGACAACAAAAAACTTGGGCGAAAAAAAAGTACTTTAAAAAAATTGAAAAACATCAAACTTTGATTTGCGAAGATCAAAATTTTGCCTTCGTTCCTTGTCACGGTCTCGATCTCTATCGCGATCACGGTCTCTATCATCTCGCTTCCGGTCACTCCGATCCCGTTCATCCCTCTCCTTCCGTTCTTTCTCACGCCTTTCTCTTTCTCTGTTCTCTCGTTCTGCTCGTTCCTTAAACGATACCTGTTAACGTTTGCCTCACCTCCCACTGACTAGTAATAATAATGCAGTGCTAATGTTGTCCAAACAAAAACATTAAGTCTTCACACATAATTCTTTCTAGAAAAGAAAAACTTAGACTTCAGGAAAATCAAAAAAATAATGAATTAACAAACCCTCCTTTTTTCTTCCATCTTCTTTTCCATTTCTTCTATAGTACTCCTGATCTTTGCATAGGCCATATGCTGCTTACCGGCATAGTGATCGTCAATTCGTTGCTGTACATCATTTACTAGCATAAAACATCCACAAACCTATAACTCTCATAATTACCGCTAAATTAACGAACAATGAGTAGAAATTTCAAAATTACCATTTTATTACCCTTCCTTGTGCGCCTATAAAGGGAATAACAAAATCATCTTTACCTGACAAACTTCCATCGGCTTCGATAACTGATTGGCCAAATCTTCTATGTGGTTCGCTGGATTCGTTGATTGGGTAAGAAGCCGATCAAGAGCAGCTCGCTCCTGCTTGAACTTTTCGGCCTGTCGGACTGCCTCTTTCGCTTCGTCAACTTTACCCTGAGCCCCCAATGTTTCTGCCTTCAAACATTATAAGCAAATTCAACAAAGCTAAAAAATCAAGGACTAAAAATATAAACCTTTAATTGTTTGAAAGAAGAGTATTAGCAGCAATATCCACGCCAAGATTGAACAGGTGACACCGCATTGCTCTTTGCTTCTCAGTATACACTCAAGAAGATTGTCTATAATGAAAAGCTTTTCACAAAACCGTATTTCTTTTCACTCAAGAACTCACCCCTAACGCCAATTCTTGACCTTACACTTGTGGTGAACCTCCCAAAGCCCTGTAACTGCTTTAGCTTCAACGCTATCTACAATGTAAGGAAACTCCAAACACCAACCACTAGGAGGAAAATAGGGGGTTTCTAATACTCTACTATGATACTACTGTCATTCAACGGAGAGCGAACAGACGAAATGCGTAGTAAAGAAAAATAACACAATTCAACTCGATTAGAAAAGTGCAACGGCTCTTCAGCTCAGAGGCACACGACTTCAACCGTCCATTTCATCTTAAACTTGATAAATAGGCAGGAAAACTACCTTTTCCATACATTCGCTTATTTTCGCAGAAAGGCTAGTTTGCTGCTCTGCAATTAATTCCTTCTGTCGCCGATGCGCTTCCGACTCGCCCTCAGTTCCATTACTAGTTGAGGCCGCTAGAAAAAGAAAAATTAGAAAAAAACTATGAGAATAAGACAAACGAAACACGGCAGATAAAGAACAGACCGTTAGGTATAGGCTGAGTGACAGCCAATCTTCTCTCGTTTTTCTCAATCTTTCTTCTAACATCGTCATCCAAACGACGGATTTTGTTTAAGAAATCTTCCTCATAACCAAGTTTCTCAAAACGACTGCTTTGTTTGTATTTAGTTCTTAGAGCGGGGTCATGTATCTGGAAGAAAACCACCCTTGATAACAATAACAAAAAGACTGAGGGTATATTTCCGTAAAAACCAGATCAGTGGTGGTTATTTTTATGTCCAAATAAGTCAAAAGCATCAATATAAAACTGAAACTGCTGTTAGTGTATTTATAGTATGCCTGTAAACCAAGTTTCAAGAGGAACTAAAGTTGATATTACTAACATTCGACTGTGATCAAAAACGGCAAAAAATTGCAGACGAAAAGAACCTCAAAAGTCTAACCTTTGGGCAAAAGCCTAAATCAGCTTTTGTATTTTTAAACATTTCATTGGGACAAAATGCAACAAGAAAATGTTTGCAGACATCAGGCTCGTCAAAATCTGGTTCATTGTCATCGCCAAAATCTGCATTCCTTTTAGGACCCATAAGTTCGTTTAACATCGCTGCCATCTGCTCGGTCGCCGACATCCTGGCGATCCTAAAATGACAAACCCAATACCAAGAAGCGTTTAACTCAGAGAAAAATCGTTTTACACGTTACCGTCGTCGACAGCACCTAGCTTAAAATACCACTAAACAAAAAAATTTTCGTTTTTAAAATAAATCTAACATTAGACGGCATAATTCAGCTTCTTTCTCGGCACTACAATCTGAGTAAGGAAAGGACTAAAATATTCTCTCAATGAAGAGCTTTTTTGACTGAAATGCTAGATAAAAAACCAAGCACATACCAAGCCACAAAACATCCCAAACGGGATTTAATGAAAAACCCGCTAAAATCAAAAAACAGAACCAACAATACAGCAGCGATACTTTTTAGCAACACACATTAAAAAAAGAAACTTTGTTCTGACACAACAAAAATGATTATTTGAGCATAATTCAACTGGCAATTTAACCAAGCTAACTGAAATCTACCTACTAACATCTAGTACCTCCGTACACTTCAGAGAAAATCAAACCTATGATCAACATCGAAAACAACCAACAATGTTAGAAGTTACGTAACAAACGCAGCACTCGCTAATGACCACGTTTGTTCGACGAGATTCAACTAAGTAAACTAGCAAAACGTTTCTGAACATGCCTTAATGCACATACCAACATCGTCGCCACAAGTTCCCTAGCATTAACATTCAATAGAACCAATGACAAGCTTTCCAGCGTTATCGCGCCCTAAGTACTATCGGCCAAACACACTTGATCATGTCGCCCCAAGACTCAAAAAGCAAACTACACTTATAACAGCACAACAACCCCACTCGCCCGTGACGAATCGACAGCTAAAGCTACACTAAATCTATAAATGTCTAAAAACGATCTATACATTTCAAATCAAATCAGTCAGTCACTTTTTCCGACCAATGTCTTATTTTTTTTGTCGAACTTCCCCAAGTGGTAAAATTTGACCCTAAATTTGTGAAACCGAAAAGATCATCGCCCCAGCTTTTCTTAGTGTGAATTGGCACCCTACCAAGCAATAGGGGACCTCACTTTCTGTTCAGCGCGCACGTTCAAAAGGAGCGTTTCTCCTGCTGTTCTTAATATTTTTAATCGTGGTTAAAAATGGGGAAGAAAGTAAAACCCAAAGTATTACTTTCAAAGCAACTTTAGGAAATTCTGGAATCCCCGATCTTCTCAAACAAAATATTACACGAGAAATTTCTTCCTTAAAAATTTGTAGCTGTCAAAGGTGGAGTATCACTGAGCTTGCAACATATGGCCTCTAGGATAAGCAGATCTCGCTAAAAATGTTCTTTGGAGGCTTGCTTTAGTAACAGCACAGTTAAATAATCGACCAACAACTTTAATTAATGCACAGGAGAGGCACTAAGTTTGACTGAAGACCTAAGAAGAGACAAAAATTTTCTTCTACTGCTTTCGAATTCACCTTGTTAAACTAAAGCTCAAAAGAACTGATGAGTCTGTTGCAGAAACAACTGCAGAATTAACAATTCGCCAAATTCCTAAGTGCAAATTTTCCTTACCTCTATTCAATCAGTTCTTCATTTCTTTCCCGTCATGTAGATAAACCATTAGCTCATTTATGCAACTACGCCAACCAACTTTTATCGTGTCTTTTCCAAAATTCTCTTCATAAACAACTTCAGTAGGGTCATAAATAATCAGCAAAGTTGCCCTCCTTCCCATCCGAAGTTTGTCCGCGAGAATCCTGTATTTCTCCACGCGACAGTGCGCGGTAGAGCAACTTTTCCGGCGTAAGGGTGCCTCCCATTTTCCTCGAAATTAATCCCTCCTGGATCACGTCATAGAGCATGCCGGTGAAATAAAAAACAAAGCGCTCAGGAGTTATCAACTCCAAAACACTGCACGTCCAGTGTTTCCCAGCACTACTTCCTTTAAAATCTTGCGTCCGCGACTGGCGATTTTCGATATGGTAACGACTGTTCAAATGAAGGCCGCTTGTCTTACTTTCATTAGAAAATTAAGTCCCAGCAGAGATGCGGATTTCAAAGTAACTTTTTGGCTGAAGCGACATGACCCCTTCTACCCTAAAGAAATTTGCAGCTTCTTTTTTGACAGTCAAACAGTGAAAACAAACTCAATTATCGCCATTCACACCCCCTGCACT